TCTTGGGATCCACCAAGCCAATTTTGATGATCTAAACACCATTAGAACCAGAAAAATCTTCTCTACAACTTTAATTAGAAGCCCAAGAAAAGTTATCTTATTAAAAACTTCTTTAAAGTTTAAAAAATTAGTTTTTAATATAAAAATAAATAATTAATATGATCTATAGTTACACAATTGAATTAATAATTTATACAGGGTAGTCTAAACGTTACCTTGCAGCTAAATATTACACAGGAATTTTTTTATAATATAGTATAGATTTATACTGTATATATATAAAAAAATTATTTAGATTATAAAAATAAAATTATTTAGTAAAATTTTAAGAATCATAATATTTTTTATAATTTTATTAATAAAATTATAAAAAATATTATAATTCTTAAAATTTTAATAAGTAATTCTATCTTAGTACTCTAAGTAATTTTATTTTACGGCCTCACCTTTAAGATTTAAAAAAAAAAAAGTAATTTTATTCTATATACTATAATCAGTAGTGATTATCACCGGGGTGCTATATCTCAAAAAAACTACTAGCTAATTCATATTAGAAATACTAAGCAAAAATAGTCAAACCCCCAAAACCTAAATCTAACTAAAATTTGAACCTTTATATCTAACCCCTAAAAATAGGAGACGGCGCCGATTATTTGTAGTAAAATCAAAAGAATATTAAAAAATCTAAGTTTAAAAACTAATTAGCCTATATTACAATTTAAAAAATAAAATAAAAAATAAAGTTTATTTATAAACTAAAAATTTAAAATTTAAAAAAACATTTCTTAACTAAAAAAAATTATAATTTCTTAACGAATTTGTTAAAAATTAATTTTAAAAATGATTTTTACTACAAATAACCAGTAGTTATCATCACTATCTCTTATTTTTAGAATTAAAATACAGTTTTAAAATAGAGTCAAATATAAAAAAAAACCTAATTAGGATTAGGTTTTTTGAAGTTCTGAACATTTATATTAATACATCTAACGTGAATTAGCTAGTAAGTTTTTGAAATAGAACACTCTGGTGATAATCACCATCGGTTATAGTTAGTAAAGTTTTTTTTTTTTAAAAAAAATAGTATTTTATACAAATAGATTTATTGTAGTGCTGAAAAATATATGCATACTCTCGAAGGTGTTGTAAATATGTATGCCATGAAAATATCATATTAGCTAATCAATTATAATCCCACATCACTCAAATATTTTAATAAACATAATAATAAATAGATAAATGAATATATATTACAGATATACATTAATTTATACATACAAATCAATAATTCTCCAGTGTTCGTAATTACTAGAAAAAACTAGCTAGCTTAAATATGCTAAATTTCTTATTATTAATACTGTATTAAATAGGCTTTAATATAACTTATTTCCAAACTTAAAATGGATAATTATTGAAATGATGAGCTATGTCAAAGCTCTTTGAACGTATCATGAATTTCTTTCGTTTCGTTGAGAAGATTCTAAACGTGGGACATAGCTCACGTTACCAATAGAAGAATCCCAAATATGAATGCCTGGAGCCAAATCTTCGTCACGAATAGCATCTGGAAACATGGTGAAAAAACACGGGTCGCATGCACGTACTATTTTATCTTCACGCTCACTTGATCCAGGTATTATAAAATTCTTGTAAAGCAAATGTAATAATAAAAAATGTAATGAATATAAATGTAACAAATGCAAACTAACATAAAAGTGAAAATAACGATATATTACTCTTGTAGAACACGCATGACAAACAACTTTTCCACATGCACGACAGTGGTGTTTTCGTAGAAATAACGTAAATACTTCGGAACAATTCATGCACCTGTCAGCTTCTGAATCAGGAACCCATATAGGAGCATGATAATTATCAACGACACACTTCTTATATGAATATTTTCTTTCTGTCAATATGGGTTTATCTATTGTACAAATGATCATGAGGATATGTGCATTTTTGAAGGAAAAAATTGAAGCAACATAAATATTTCATAATTCCATACCAACGTTAAGAGTTCTTTTTGCACTAAGAAATTTTTCTTGAGTGTTACGAATAGTGTTGATCCAAGATTCTTTTTCATTTTGATTATCTATGATACAAAATTTAAAGTCATCATATATTTGAATTTACTACTGTAAATACTTTCAGATAACGGTATAACACCAACCTGCATAAATGATAAAACTTTTTTGGGGACTAAGGACTTGAAACGCATTTTTAACAGCTATTTGTAACAAAATTAAATGTTATTTAGAGATATATGTTGAACATTTATACGGATATATTTAAGGTTATAATACCAGAATCTTCGACGGTCAAAACTGTCACATCTTCAAGATAAAATTTGCGATGAAAAGTATACATATTATCCATTAGACCCGGTGGACTTATTGTATTAAGATTAATATGTAAATATAATGACATAGTAATTAATGAGAAAATAAAACAAAAGGAAGACATTACCTGGCGTATATCAAGATATCTGAAAACAAAAAGAATTCACGATGTTGATGATTTTTTCTGCAAATCTAATGGATCAATATGATAATCATAAATGTTAACATAAATATTTAGATAGTAAATAAATTGTTTATATAAAATTTAAGATAAGCGTTAAGCTAAGTATATCAATTCTTGCAGTTAACAATAATTACCTTCATCAGTGTGCCTCTCTTGATCAACGTTCTTCCAGGAATTAATAAAGTTTCGTCAAATCCAATCAAAGATTTTTGAATCTCTAGCATAGAAATAATCATTTCATGTTCACGAATAGTTTCATTGACAAAGGTGGCAACATGTTTAATTGTTTGGAGAGCCTTCTTTAAATTCGGGTAATCAGGATGGCTTTCAATGGTTTTCTTTAAAAGTCCCTCCAATAATAATTTATATTTAGGAATTCGTTGTACTGGCATGATTAAGTAAGCCTGTAATGTAAGACCTTTGCATTTTCCGGTCTTTAATACATCCTGAAACGATTTGACGCTTTTTAGGAACTCATAAAAAAACGGCAATTAGAATACATTCATAATTATTAATCTTCACTTACTCTAAGAAATGCAGAAAAAAGCGGATTGTCTCTAAGTTGAATATCAATGACAGAGAGTGCAGAATTGAAATTTTTAACATAAAGAGAATACATTTTAAAGAACGGTGCCTATTTTAGATAAATTTTTGCTTAAAAACTATTAACATATCAAACTGACATGATTAGCTAATTACAAATTACCATATTCAAAAATATGTCACCCAGACAATCAGTTTCAGGACTCCAAAATTTAAAATCACTATCTTCATCAACGGGAATGTCATTGGAACAAGAAAGCCTCTCTTCTAATCTTTTCAGTAATTCTGTATTGACATTCAACAAATCCAAAAAGTTTGCAAAAATGTCTTTGATGAGTTTTTTAGTCAGTATCGGATTTGTTGTTGATAGTGATTCGAGAAGAGGGTTAAAGAACAACTGTGTGAAATAACAATTAGTTCGAGAAAAATTATGGTATAAAATCTTTGATTATTATTAAGATTATTTTTTACCCTTTGAACGAGCAACAAGGAATCAACATAATGACGTTCTGTTGTTATAATTTCCAAAGCGATCATCAATCGTTTTTGCATGAGAGAATTCACGCTCATTCTCATAGAAGCACGAGATGCCCTGTTGTTAAATTGAGCTCTTGCTGATAGAAGTGATGAATTAGTTTCTGAATTGTCGACTTTTTCAGGGAAATTGGTAGGTGACGTTGGCATTGAAGTGCATCGTGACGATACAATGGTTTGTCGAGGGCCATTAGATAGTGCGCTTGTTGAATGTCGTTTACGCGAAGGGTTATGTATTGGAGAAATACAATGAAATTTATTTGAGGATTCGCTTTGGATAGATGATATACTAAATATAGAAGCAGTGTCCGACGTATCATTTTTGTCATAGTTATCGTCGTTTACTTTCCCACGCGAACTGTCTTTTTGAATCAGAATAGATAATCTCGATTTAGCGGTAGGCATACTCTTTTCTAAAATAGCAGTCGACTGAAAGTATACACTTTCAGCCTCCAGAAGTGGTGGTTTATCAAAGACCCACGATTGACGCCTTATAGACAATACCGCGCGACGAACTGGAGGTGATAAAACGACGCCTTTCTGTTGCTCATAGGAGTCAGTAGAATTCGAAGTTGGGGGAACCATTGTTTTAGCGATCGTGTTTACCGGAATTGTTGATATAGATGAATGAGATTCCATTACTATGCCGTGATCCAAACTAGTCGAAATCAATTAATTGAAAAGTTGACCAATTTGACAACTTGACAACTAATTGATTCAAATTTTTCGGAGCAACTGTTCGTTAAAATGATTATCTACTAAGTAAAATTTAGAAAATAATTTAACCATAACGATAATACAATAAATCACGTGATTATGCAGTTAGATAAAATTAATTATACAGTAATTATATACTACCGCTACGCATAATTCAAATGTGAGTGCATAGATGTATAAATAGTACAAAAAGTATAATTTATAATAAGAACGAATTTTCCCTATTGATTTTGTGCGTAGGGGGCAAAGCGATCAGGTGTATAAAAATATTACATAATGAAATAAGTATAAAACCATCGTAACAGTATAACCAGTATAAAAATCAACGAAACAATCTATTTTCACTTGGGTTATTTTTAAGGATGAAATCATCTCGTGTAACCAGCGTGGAAACTCTCTGACTCGACCGTATTATTATTACGTATGTATTATATTATTTATTTATTAAAACCCTTATTGTATTAGATAATGGTCTGTTATTTTTGGGTAAGATGGTCGATGAGTATATTTTAATTAAATTAATATGATGTTACACAGTAACGAAGTCGTTGCGTCATTGATCATGCCCATTTTGAGCTCGGTATCTCTAGTCAGTTATTTACCTCTGAAATGATCACGATCATTACAATTCGCTTTGGATAAAGGTCTTATTTATTCATAGGACGACTTTCATATGATTGGTTGTTTAAGTCAATTTAATTTTATATTATTTGTCGGTGCTGAAATTCACGTGATCACATGATGATCTTCCGTATAAACAAACCTAAAGTGCTTATAGAACCCTAGCCTCACCAACTAAAAAATTTCGCTGTTAATGTTAGGGTTAGGGGTTGGGTATGACCATATTTCAATTACCCTAGTGGAA